GATGAGGAGGAGAGAGGAGAGAGAGAGAGAGAGAGAGAGAGAGAGAGGAGGAGGAGGATGATCACTGTTCGTACCCCATCAATAGTCGGGATGGTGACGTTGACTCCTTCCTTCGCCTCTGCAGATCTAGTTGAGAGAAGGGAGGTAGGGAGGGAGGCAGGGAGGGAGGGAAAGAGGGAGGGAGGCAGGGAGGGAGGGAAAGAGGGAGGGAGGGAGGGAGGGAGGGAGGGAGGGAGGGAGGGAGGGAGGGAGGGAGGGAGGGAGGGAGGGAGGATAGCAGGAGAAGGGAAAGAGGGAGAGGCAGTGGGAGGAAGAATCGATACCTTTCTTTGAGAGCTCACAGACGTAGATCAAATCATTCTCAATCCTCTTAAAAAACTGCCCGCCTATCAAATTGCTCCATCTCCTCCTCCACCACCTTCTCCCCCCCCCTTTCCCCAACCCCTTTCCTTCGTCCCCACTCTTCACCACCTCTCCCTCTCTCCTCCACCTCTCCCTCGCTTCTTCACCTCGTGCGACTTTTCTTTCAGCACGAAACACACGCTCTGCAGCCCTTCGTCGTCCTGCGACTTGATAAGAGAAAGACAGACAAGAAGAAGAGGAGAGGAGAAGAGAAGGGCAAACATGAGCACGAGCACGAGCACGAGCACGAGAATGAGCAGCAGGTACCTCAAATGTTATTCGCGTGCCTTCTTTCCATCCTCGTTTGATCTGCAAGTACAAAAGGAAAGGACAGGGAAAGAGGAAGAGAAATAGAGGAAAACATGTAGAAAACGAAGATGGAGTTAAACAAGAGGAGGAGGAGGAGGAGGAGGAGGAGGAGGAGGAGAGAAAAGGAGGAGGAGGAGGAGGAGTCAGTCTCTTTGCTTCTTAGGTCGCATAACCTCACGTCGATTGTGAATGTTTTGTCGACGGGAACAGCAAAACCAGTTCCCTGGGAGAGCAACGAGATGAGAGAAAAAGGAGAGGAGGAGGAAGAGGGGAAGAGAAAGAAGGGAGGAGGAGGAGGAGAAGGTAGCTGAGGAGGAGACAGAGGAGGAGGTGGTAAGTAGAGGAGGAGGAAGAGGAGGAAGGGGAGTACAGGATCGAGATGATAAACGGAAGTTTTCTCCATTCGCTTCCCACCTAATAAACCGTGAGGAGAGACAAAAGGACTGCAAGAGGAATATGGGAGAGCAAGGGAGAGACTGAGTGAAGGACTCGAAGTCGTCCTAAAGTTCCGCGCTCCTCCTCCTCCTCCTCCTCCTCCTCCTCCTCCTCCATGCTCCCGCATCCCCCATCCTCCTCCTACATACCGTGGAAGAGTTCTTCGAGGGTGACTACCAACTTTCTCTCCACTAGTCTGCGAGATGAAGTGAGCAAAAACAAAACGCAGAGGAGAGAGGGAGGGAGGGAGGCAAGCAGAAGGGGGAGGAGGGAGGAAGGGAGGGAGGCAAGCAGAAGGGTGAGGAGGGAGGAAGGGAGGGAGGGAGGGAGGGAGAGGAGGAATGTCTAATACCTCTTGACATTCCAAGGATGTTTAAACTGGAAGTTCATTGGCGATGAGAACGAATGCCTGGTCCAAGAATCAGACCTCCTCCTGCTCCTGCTCCTGCTCCTGCTCCTGCTCCTGCTCCTGCTCCTGCTCCTGCTCCTGCTCCTGCTCCTGCTCCTCTCCTGCTCGTCCTGCTCCTGCTCCTGCTCCTGCTCCTCCACCTGCTGCTCCTGCTGCTCCTCTCCACCTGAATCGTCGACCGAATTCAGCAAAGCTTGTCTCAAACTCCTCATACTCGTGATCTTGCTCCGACCTGCTCCATTCTCACTGCAAGAAACAAACACCAAATCGTCGTCGTCGTCATCGTCAGCAGATCATCATCATTATGAACACCATTGCAAGACGAACATTAAAAACTTTCACAAACACCTTCAATCGTTCGAGATCTCGTATCAATACAAGCTCTCATATCATCACTCATCAGAATCTCACCCCTGTGCCTGGCCCTTCACTCCTCCTTCCCCATAAGCATCGTACGCATCTCGTTTTGCCGGATCACTGAGAACATCATAGGCTTCTTGGATTTCTTTGAATTTCTTGTCTGCGAGTTCCTTGCTGCGACATGTTTGATATCCGGAAATGTCAAGAGCAGAACAAAACAAACTTGGAAGGATGGCGATCTGGATGCCATTTCAACGCCATCTTGTGATACGCTTTCTTGACCTCCCTGTTATGAAACAAACAAAGTCACAGAACCTCGTGGTTTTACATGCAGCAATGGCAGCACAAATTCTTCTCCCTCATCGCTTCTCACAACATCTTGTGAAGCATCGTGATAATCAGTCATCACCATCACCATCACCATCCTGCCCCCTCCCATTCCCTCTCCCTCTCCCCCTCCCTCTCCTCCTCCTCCTCCTCCTCCTCCTCCTCCTCCCTCACGTCGGCGATGGTACATCCATCTTCTTCAATCCAAGAAGTTCATAGTATCTCTCATTTCCAATCCCCCATCCCCCCCGCAGCCTCGCTACCAGCCCTCTGGTGCTGTAAAACGACTTTCCCGCCCAGCACTTGGTGTCCCGATCGACCTGGAAGGAGGGAGAGTGAGAGAGCAGGAGCAGCAAGGCATGCAAGTACAGCCCATGATGGAGGCTGAAGCAGAGGAGCCGAGTATTTCACTCCTCTGCGTTCGTAGAGTCCGCTCGCAGTCTCCCGCAACTCTTCGGTAGACTGCAGTAGGAACAAGAGCGCGAGCATGGAAACGAGGCTGTTGCTGCACCTAAGGGGACCGAGTTTCATCATTCCGAGGATCTCAATTGCGTTTTCTTGACTTCGATCTCATGCTGACAGACCCCCCATCGTCTCCTTCATATTCTGCAAGTGAAAATATCAGCCAAGTTTTATAGTGGAGATTTTTCTGGACAGCATTGTCAACTTTTTCTTCATCGACATAATTCGCCTCTTGCATACGATAACTATCATCAACCACAAACTTATTCACTTCAGATACTTTACGACATCTCTCAAAACATGCCAACTTGCATTTTTTCGAATTTCGTATCCAAATTTCTCTCTCGCTCAATGATACTGAACGACCGTTCATTGCTCCCATTCCCTTGTTTTCTCAGTTCATCTTACTACTTCTCCCGATCTCCCTGGCTCCCTCTCCTCCTCCTCCTCCTCCTCCTCCTCCTCCTCCTCCTTCTCCTCAACATGGCTGCATGTGGTCTATCGCCATGGCGGCCCCCCGACAGACCGCGATCCTGGTAGACCAGAGAGTCGGACAAACCAACTCAGGAGAGGGTAGTTTTTATCAAATGTTGGGGTAGGGGGTTAATCGAATTATTCAAGTGGTGTAAGAACGTGGGGTATTTCAAATATTAAAAGTAGGGTGGGTATTGAAAGTCCAGGGTAGGCTAGGATTGGAGGAGGTGGGGGTAGTAAGGGGCCGCCATGGTGGTGAAACATATCGTGCTGTTCAAGATGAAGCAGATGGATGAAGCAGGTGAGGAGGAGGAGGAGGAGGAGGAGGAGGAGGAGGAGGAGGAGGAGGAGGAGGAGGAGCAAGATAAGCCGATGGAATGTGTTGAAATGCCGTGAATTCTTCTTCTTCCAACTATTTCTTGTCTTCCTTCTTCCAGCAAACTATGCGAAACCGTGCTTTACAATCCTGATTTCACATGATCCTTGTGTGATGCGAACTGTCCGCTGTTTCGAACACCCGGGGCTTGCAAATTCATGAAGATGATGAATCCTTTTTCGAATTCTGCTTCACTGAAACCAGTGATGAACATTTTCTGGCATGGATTCTGATTCATGAGTACCGAGCTACCTGTTTGAAAGTTTGTACACTGCATGCTGTTTGATCACTTTCATTATAGCTCTGAAAGCTTCCTGAATCTCATTTTTTTGCGCAGGGATCAGAGGTTAACGAAGCCAAGAGTGGCCTGACCTGTAATGAACAATTCAACACATTTAATGAAAAATCCGAATAAAACACATTTTCAACATGACGATGCTTCAAACCACCCGTCGCCTTAACAATTTCAGCTTGTGAACCGCAAGTGGTTCTCTTCACGCCCTTCTTCTTCTTCTCCTTGAGCTCTTTGGCTGCATTGACATCAACCCGTCAACACAGGTGTCCATCATGTAC